ATATATATATATATATATATATATTTGCCTAGTGTATATTTGCATAAACGTGATTTTTTTCAATTTCTCAATATAGCCTCGCAGGTGCAATATATACAAATATATTGTACATATATACTTACTTATTTAGTGCGCGCTTGCTAATGCAGTTATTTCACCTGTGGGTAATTTCAAGTACATGTATTTGTCTAGTACACTTATTTCATTTATACTCTTCGCCTTCATCATTTACTTATTGTGTTATTGCAATCTGCTCATGTAGTGTGTATTTGCATATGCACGTCTTTAGTGCATGTGAAGGCATCTGTTCATCAGGATACCTGCTGTTTATCCTCACTATTTTCTCCAGCTGATTTCAAAATACCAAATTCAACATTTTGTGCGCAACGTTTCCCAAGTTTTGACAAAGTGCTATTAGTGGTTATGGGGGTATTCATGCTCCATCCTGTTTTCATTGCCATTCACTGAAGGATTTATGCTAAGAACTTCGAAACATTTCTGGGCCGATGGTGTCTATTGAAGGACGTACATTTAAATATTACATTTTTATTTTCTTTTTGTAGATATATCTGTACTGTTAGTGGTGAAAATGAGTACTTGGTGCAGCTGGGTTTGCTTATTTTTTACTATGCACTTGTTCAGGCGTATGCAACTTTTCCGTTTGCCTTCGTGTGACTTTCCATTTATGCACTTTGCTCTTGGATACATCTGCAAGGGCATGCATTTAAAGTTCTTTCGCCGTTTCTCCCTTTATACGTTTCCAGGGTTAAATAATTCTGTCAAAATGCAGTGATCGTTATTGAAATCTGCGCAAATGTTAATTGACTCAGCAATCAGCTCACGTTTTATTATTCATTGGCGAATTTTTTGTTTTGCTGCAGAGCAGCGCCTCTTTGTCTCTTTTTTAATCTTATTCTGTTAAACTTTGCTTTCGTTTATTTGTGTTGGTGTTGGTGTTTCTTCACATTTAAATGTGTACTTTAAAACTGTTTCATGTCGTGTTGGTTATTTTCGTCTGTTGTTGTTTATGCTTGTTTCTGATTAAACGCATACTTGTGAAGGATTTCTTGAGGCGCCTCCCTCCTGAATTTGAAAGTGCAACGATTAATCTCAACTCATATACTGACTCGCGGACGCTGCAGAACATCTTGGCCTCCAACATCGAGAAGCGGTAGGCAAATTAATAAGAACAACGAGAAGAGTCGGAGACAGGATGACGGCAACAATACGCTAGGGACAACAAATATATTAAGGGGGATAATGCTAGTTATTGTTAAAACTGCTGTCAGTTTCGTCGCATTTGTGACGACTGTTTCATCTCGCATTCCACACTTTTCATATTATATATATATATATATATATATATATATATATATATATATATATATCAGAAATATAATACATGGTACGATATAAAATAGCATATATGGGAATATCTTAGTGAGGTGGAAGGTGCGAAATGCACATAAGGCAATTGTAGTTTAGTACGCGAGTAGCACCATGACATATGGAGCAGTTAGATCTGTTTTTCCTGTTAATAATATTGTGCGTTGGCCTCTTACAACGCCTAAATATGTGTGTATATCTATCCGTTGGGATATTCTCACACAGTAATCCAGGGGGTAGGGTTTTGCGTCTAGGGTTTAGGCTTTAGGGATTACCCTTTTTATGTATGTATGTATGTATGCAAGTATGTATGTATGCAAGTATGTATGTATGTATGTATGTAAGTATGTATGTATGTATGTATGTATGTATGTATGTATGTATGTAAGTATGTATG